AGCCCCTAAAGCTTCCAAGAACGCCCCGAAAAGGCCCCCAAAGGAGCCCAGGCGGGTCCAAGAGGCGCCCAGGAGGCTCCGAGAGGCCCCAGGATGGCTCCAAGATGGCCCCAAAATGGCCCCGAGAGATTCCAAAAAAGACCCCCAAGAGGACCCCCCGCCGCCTCCCCGGTGCATCCAAGACGCCCAATAGTCCTCAGGACCGCCAGGTGACACCCGAGACGCCCCAAGAGGCTTCAAAACAAGCGCCCACGAGATACCCCAAGGGGCTCCGAGAGGCATTCGAGAGACCTCCAAGAGACCCGAAGAGGCTTCGCGAGGATCCCCAGAACCCTTAAGACCCCCCCAGACGCTCCAAGAGGTTTCCAAAACAACCCCCAAGGGACATCCTCAGAGGATCACCTGTCCGCCATGGTTCCTCCTCCTTCTCCTTGTCATTATTCCTCCTTCTTCCCCTCATCCTCCTCTCCGCATCCCCCTCCTCCCCCCCCTTATCCGCCTACTCCTCATCCGAGAACCAGCGCCCTCAGCAACGACAGCAGCATCACTAGCAACAGCAACAGCAACAGCAGTACCAGCAGGAGCAAGAGCACCAGCAATAACTTCGCCACAAAAGATCACACAATTCACCGCTGTTGCCCGCTCGGGTTCGCTACGTGAGTCTCTTCCCCCCTTCTTCCGTCAACTGTCCTGGGCGTCGTTTCTGGATGGGTTGGCGGGGGCGCTTTTTTCGGTCGCGCCCGCCGGCGAAGGCGCAGGCGGAGGAAGAAGCTGTCCGGGGCGCGGAAACATACCTAATTAGCTGCTAGGCGCGAAACGGGCCGGCCGGGCCAGCTCACAGGGCAGCTGCTGAGCCGCGGGGCGAGGGCTGACTGGCTGAGCGCGCCCAGGGAAGCTCGGGCATCGTGCAGTCCTGACAAATGCCATGGAATTCGATGCACGCCCTGTGGCGTGAACCACTCTGTAGAGCGGGAACGTAAGCGAGGTGTTGCCCACACGCCTGGTGGTCGCGAAGGCGAGGTGAACGATGAACGAGTCGCCAGCGCGGCGCCAAGTCCAGGTCCGCACAAACGGTGTATACCAGCCAGGTGGGCTAAGCAACCGAGGTGACGTCGTAGACCAGCCTATGGCTGGGGCGGATCCAGAGGGGAACACAGCGCGAGACGGAAGGCTGAACCACTCCGCGGCGACCGCGGGGCCCCCGGGGCCCACCATTCCGAGCGCGTGAAGGGGCCGGCCCTGTGGCGAACCCTGAGGGCCTATCCCCAGCTGGTGGGGATACGCGAAGCGTTTAGAATTCCTTGGGGAAGGTCCTCGAGCGGCCACAGTCCATCCGTTTTAGGTTTTTTTTCCCTCGCGGTGCTCATCATCTAGGCGAAGGTCGCTTGTTCGTTCCACGCGGTACCTGGAGGCCGTTTACCTCTTCAGCACCGGTCACCTCGCCCTTATGTCAGTCTCGAAGGCGTTCCCGCTGCCCTTGCTGGTGGCGCTCTTCCTCGAGGAGGCTCATGGGGTAAAGGACCACGCGTGCTGCAAGGTTACCTGGGGGTTTGGATGGGCTCTTCACTACCTCCGCCACCGCCTTCCTGAGTCAGCGTGGCGCCCGGACTTCCACCCATCGTCGCCGTGGGCTCCCTCTTCTGCTTTGGCTTCCCGTTCGGCACCTACATGGACGTTCCCAGTGCCGCTTAGTGATGCCATCCGCGCCATTTTGGCCGCGCTGAGCATCGCCCCGCTCTGCGTTTGGCGTTGTTCGCCTCTCTGCTTTTCTTTTCTTTTAGCTGGTGGCACAACCTGCCCCTGCTTGCCCGGCGTTCGACCAGCTTCGCGCACCAAAAGTTAAACCTCACCAGCCCATCCAGGCACGGCGCCCGGACGAGTTGCCGCGATCAGGGATGTGGAAGAGGATGCAGTGGAATGGAGGATCGGGTAAGACGTCATTCTCCAGTAGGGGGAGGAGGAGGAAGAGTAGCAGGGATAGAGGCAAGGGGAGGAGGGAGAGGGAGAGGGGAGGAGGAGGAGGAGGAGGAGGAGGAGGAGGAGGAGAACGAGGTGGATGAGGAGAGGGAAAAGGATGCGGATGATGAGGAGGAGGAGGCAGAGGAAGAGCAAACATAACAACAGGGGGAAGAAAAGGAGGAGGAGGAGGAGGAAGAGGAGGAGGAGGAGGAAAAGGCGGAGGACTGCGCGAGCAAAACAACCACAGGCCTCGTATATGCCTTTTCGGAGTCTCTTCGGATATCGGTTTAGAGCCTTTTTGGCTCTCTTGGGGCGTTGTGGGGGCCTGGCGGCTTCGAGGGCCGCTTGGAACGTTTTGGGTGCATGGGGGGAGCCTCATGAAGGTTTCTCTAGGGCCTCTTGGGTGCCTCTTGGGAGTTTCGGGGGCCGTTTTGGGGCTCTCGTGAAGGAGATCGATTAAATAATGGAGCGGGGTTGTCACTTCCCCCCCCCCCCCCGGAAACCACAATGAAATAAAACACCTCCGTCAGACCAGTGATTATTGCATTGTCGCAGCGGCCGTCTTGGACGCTCCCAATGGGTCGCGGCACCCCTTCCAGACCCAGAGGAAAGGGGTCGGGTAGGGGTCAAGACCTTCCCCGTCCGCAAGCTGTCTCGTTCACTCTCACCTGCCCTCCCAACGCACGAGTAGCACCCAGGCCTCAGCATGTTCAGCGGTCGTTTTTGGATGGACAGCTAATGGGCACCAAAACCGATCCCATGTGCGCAACGTTGGGGCCAGGTTCGCCACGCGTGCCAGGCGCGCCATGCGCGTCAGGTGCGCCAAGCACCATGTGTAGCCCAAGCGTGCCAGGCACGCTTGGTGCGCCATATGCGCCGCGTGATCCACGCGCGCCATGTGTTGTATGCTCCAGCCGCGCCAGGTGCGCCACGTCCGGGGCACGCGCAACGTGTACCAGGTGCGTCTGCGCACGTGGCAGTACACATCGGGAAACGTGTCGGCCCCCACCACCCCTATCGAAAACTAGTGCGCAATCGCGGTGGGGTGGCCATCATAGTGTCTGGTGGGCCTGCACACAGCAGGCAATATGCCAGCACCCCCGCCGTCCCAGTCAAAACCCAAAGCACAATGAACACGGGGTGCCCGCGCATGATCCAGATTTTGCCTCGAAATGCATGTTGTATTGTTTGTGACATGGATGCGGACCCTGCCCACAGCAGGGGATATGCGGCCACCTCCTCCGTCCCTGTCAAAACATAATGCAGAGTGCTCGCGCCCCCCCGATCATTACCCGATATTTTCCGCCAACGTGAACTTCACATGATTTTGTTGACAGTGATGTTGTGTGGGGGGTCCTCATGGGTCCTCGGTGGTTGCCGGTCGCCTTGAGGGGGGGGTGTTAATCAGGAGCAGTAGTACACCCATGTAACTCCCTCGCCGGATAGGAAGAAGTGGGTTGGAAGAGGAGACCCGCTCAACCAGTCACGCTCTAAATGGCTTGCGGGATTCGCGATGTTGTGTTTAACCCCCTGTTGAGGAAGATTGGGTGGAGGAGGTAAGAGGGGAAGAGCGGGCCCGTCGTCGTCGGCGTCGTTGGGCGGAGTGCGTGTGGGATCGGGGCAGCAGGGTTCCCCCGCGCCCCACCCGACCGCCCGCCACGGTAGCGGCCGACGACGTCGGCACGAGCCACACCCAGGATTGCCCTGGGACGGGCCCCTCTCGGAGGCCTCTGGGGGGCAGTTTGGGGGGCCCCTTGGGCGCATCGTGGAGGCCTCTTGGGAGCCTCTTGGGAGCTTCTTGGGGCTTCCTGGGGGTCTCTTGGGAGCCTCTTGGACTCTTTTGGGCCTCTTGTGGATCTCCTGGGGACCTCTTGAGGCCTCCTGGGAGCCTCTCGGGACCGATGGCTCGAAATGTCCGTTTGGTTCCCCCTATTTTGGCACCCTTTTGGAACCCTCGAGGGCCTCGAGGGCCGTCTTGCAGGCGTCTTGGGCCGTCTTCGGGCCCTGTTTGGCTCGTTTCGGGACCCTTCTGGGCGGCGTCTTGAGATCGTTGGAGCCTTTTAGGCCGTTTTGGAGCGTCGGGAAGCTGAGAAGGCGAGAACGCCCAAACCCTTGAAGTACTTAAGGAAAGTCAGTTAAGTTTGCCTCTCGGGACTCTCGTGGGAGTGCCCTTCGAGGCCTCTTGGGGCGTCTTCTAGCCCTCTTGGGCCGTCTGGAGGCAGGAAGGACGTCTTGGACCGATCGGTCGGCGATTCGGGGTCCGTTTGAACCGTCTTGGGGGCCTGTTGGGGCACTCTTGGCTCGTCTTGGGACTTTTCTATGGCCGCGCCCCCCCCCCAGAGGGGGGTGGTATTCTGACCCGGGACCCCCCTGGGACCCCCAGTCCTGGCGGGGAAGGGATCAAAGGGAAGGGGCTTCTCTTCGACTTAATTTCGACGTTGCTCAATTTCGTTTTGGCTGGCGCGCTAGAGGAGGAGGGCCCAGGAAAAAGGGAGAGCGGCGACGGGCCCAGGGAAAGAGAGAGAGTGGCGACGGCGACGGCGACGACGACAACGACAACGACAAAGACGAGTCAAACATAACAGTCTCTTCCACACGCCGACAGGGTCGACGGATGTTCCTAGATCGGATCTAATCCAGCTTGGTAGTTCCTTAATCGGGCCCGCCAGGACGCTGGAAAAAGAGGCCTGGCACTTCTAGTTAATCCAGCGCTGCCAAGTTTTCCAAGCGGCTTGGCCAACTGACGTCATCTCATCAGTTTCGGGCCCGGTTCCGCTCAGTCATTTCCCGAAGCCTTAGTCCTTCTCATCTTGACAGAGCTCCCAGCGAATTGCTTCCAGCTGTCTTGTAATAGTCTCTAGCCGTCCCTGCGGAGAGGAGGGAGGAGGAGGTCACCAGAGGTCTCCCCCCAGCGGATTCTGGACGATTCCGTATGCCCACAAGGTGTCAGAAACCTCGATGTCCTGTCCTCGATCCCCACCTCCCGAGGAGGAGACAGGAGGGAAGGGCTCCTGGAAGATTCCCCCCCAGCTCTCGTGGAGGCCAGGCGGCCCGCGGCTGCCGCCCGCGGCAGAGGGCGGCCTCTTCCGCTCGCCGCTGGCGCCCCACGCGCGTGCGGAGGGCTGGGCCAAGGTCGTAGGCGGCGACCTGCCCTGGCCGCTGCGGCCGGAGGCGCACCTGCTCCTCCTCGTTGGCGGTGCGCACCACGCGAGGGAAGAAGCACGGGGACCATGACCGAGATGCCGCCGGATCTTGTCGACGCCGAACGTGGTCATGGTCCATGCCAGCCGTCGCCGATCCTCGAGGATGATCCACGAATTGGCGTTGGCCAAAGCTGTACGGTGACCAAGATCGACACTGACGTTCCGCGTTCAATCTCGGTCACGGCTTTTTTCCCACTGATCAAAGGGGTTGGCGCGAGGGGGGGTTCTTTCTGCGATCGCGGAAAGGCAGGGGAGTTTTACGAAGACAGGGGGTTGCACTGAAGCCGCCGTCTTCTTAGAAGTCTGCCGCCTTTGTGCCTCCCCCTTGTGCGCGCTCCGAATCATCGATGCAACTGCTCCTCTCCAGGCCTCTTCAAATGGGGCTGGAGTAACCTAGATGGGGTCGGAAGATCGCGCCGCATCACAGATGCATCCGCGATGCGGTTGCCAACGTATTGCCGACGCGTCGGCAATGTCGGAAAATGTAGCATTTTGACATTATCGGGGCGGTCGTCGGAAGACCGGCAGTTCGTATCTCCAAAATTCCAGGGCACCGGATATTCTTTGAGCGGAACCGGGAGGTATCTCGATCCGCCATCGAGGCGTGGACATCTTTGTCTGCCCTCCATCGGGGGCGGGGAAGTATCTGCCCGCCCCTTGATGCGTATGGAAATCTGCCCGCCCATCGAGCCTCCCCCTCCCCTGAGATCGGGGTATTTATGTATCACCACCATCACCACTATCACCACTATCACCACCACTATGCTTGGACAAACCCATCCATGGCCCTCTGGTGGTGCATGGACCCTCCCAGGATGCTGCCTCGGCCAGGAGAGCGTACACACACCATGCCAAGGCCCAGGATAGTTGTGGTCAGGCATGGTGGTGGCGGTTATCTAAACTACGGTTTTGGTGGTACTCTGGAGGGCAACCTTTTCTTAGGATGATCTGGAAGGCGGCCGTGGCCAACCCCATCTAAATTAGGCGAGTTGGTCGCGGCCATCTCCACCCACCTCATTTAGGTGGCCGCGGCCACCTCCCCTGAGATTACGTCGAGGTGGCCGTTCCAATCTCGTCCATGCTCGCAGGTCCGCACGGATTGCTTGATCTGCATTGCCCCTGGCGCGCTCAGCGTTCCCTCACACCGGAAAAGATCCATCCTTGCGTACGCGGGCGAGTCTATTGGTTGGCGGTGGTGTTGGTTGTGCGTGTGCTGACAGTGGCAGGGCATGCTGCACATATGTCAGCGTTCGCGATTCTGACCGTTGTAGCGGTCCTTCTTGTGGTGCCAGAGATGTAATGCAACATGAGCGCGGTCCAGTGACAGGTCCCGACTCTAACCCAAGATGATGATTTCAATGATGCCTTGACCGGTGCGCGATGTCGACTCTGGGCGAGAAGCGTGCATGGCAGGTTCCTCTTTCTCCTGCGCGCGACGCCACGTGCTCGGAACATCGGCGCAGGAGCACGGTTCTCCATCGTGGAGAGGAGTGACGGGAATTGCCTCGGGCGTCCACGCTCCCGCCCCCCTCACCCATGGCCCCCCGCCCGCTTCCTGGAGAAAGGGATGAGGCCGTGGACGGGAATGTAAAACGGGGGAGGCGGGGGCAGGGGAACGGGTGGCCGAGGACCGGGAGGCGAAAGGGAGAGCCAGGGAGAGAGGAGGGGACGCAGAGGTCCGTTAGGAGGAGAGGCGTGCGGGGCAATGTCCGAGGCCAGAAGTTCTACACATCCACTGCCCAGGGAACCCATGCACCAGGACCCCAGGAGGCATTGGATGTGGATCTAATTGGGCCCCACGGGGGCCCGAGTATGCCCACGTCCACTGCTTCCCGAGGAGTAAGATCAGGCTCCAGATGCAGTGGACTTGTATCAGTTCTGGCCCTGGACAGTGGGAGCTGGGGGGTGCTCGGGCTCTGGGGCCCTGCGGAGGCGGCCGGGTACTGCGCCGCGGGCGGCTCAGCGCAGTTGCTGAGCCTGCTCAGCGAGACCGCCGGTGCCGCCGACCTCTGGCGCTCTGGCGGCCCACCCGGCGCCGGCGCGGCAGGCCCCGCCGCTGGTAGCGAGACCAGATGAAATTACCAGGAATTGGGGTGTAGGTGGCATGACGCGGCCGGCCTGGGCGCGAGCGAGGTATTCTTTCCAGCGCATGTGAATGCAGCGCGTGATTTTCCCATGCTCCAGTGCTCCACACATTAATCCAGCGCGTGGACATCCGCGTGTGGATCCAGCCACATGGGAATCCGCATTTGATTGATCGCTCATGGCGATTAATCTCCTGACCCTCGCCCTTGCTGCCATTCTAGATGCCCGCGTCCCTCTGCGCCCACCATCTGGCAGCCCGTCTGGTGTTTGCTTACTAGCGGGGATCCCTGAAAACGGGGGAAGCGTACCACCGCCGCTCCAACCGCATCCTCCGGGAGACGATGGCCACGGCAGGGTTGGCTGACATCGACGTTTTCGTCTTGAGCAGGATGTACGACTACACGGGACACCTCATCCGGGCCATCAGCCGGGACCCGGGGCATTTGGTCGGTGCCGTCATCAGGCATAGGGATTCAGAGTGGAAGCGTATCATGACAGCTACGATTGGTCATCAGGGCCATCCGGGGAGGTTCGTTCCGTGGTGTGAGGAAAGGCAGTACGACGCTTTTTTTGCTGCGCAAGAGATGTCCTGGAAGGACGCGGCTTTGGACCGTGACGCCTGGCAGGCGCACCGTTCTTCTTGGATCACGCACATCATGGGGCACAAGCAGGAAAAAACCAACTTTGGGAATCTCTGAATCTATACGTCATATGCATCAAGGTGGTTTGAATTGTCATTATGTTAGGTGGTGTATTGTTTCTACTTCTACTTGTTGAACATGTTCTTCTGAGCAGAGCCTTTAGTGAAGCAGCGGTAGGAATCCTGTGTTCACACAGGCCGCATCCAATCCAGTCCACTCCAAAACAAACAACACACCAGCGATCTGATCCCAGTGCGACCCTACCTAGGACTTGGAGCCCCTAGGAAAGCAACATTAGTAGTAACAGTAAAGCTAAGTTAAAGTTAAGCTAAGGCTAAGCTAAATCTAAACTAAAACGAAGCTAAGTATAAGCTAAAGCTACGCTATGGCTAAGCTAAAGCTAACATAAATATAAGCTAAAGCTAAGCTGCAGCTAAGCTAAAGCTAAGCTGAAGCTAAGCTGAAGCTAAGCTAAATCTAAGCTAAGCTGAATCTGATCTAAGCTAGAGCTAAAGCTAAGCTGAAGTTAAGCTACAGCTAAGTTAAAGCTAAGTTAAAGCTAAGCTAAAGCTAGACTAAAGCTAAGCTAAAGCTAAGCTAAAGCTGAGCTAAAGCTAAGCTAAAGCTAAGCTTGAGCTAAGCTAAAGCTCAGCTACAGCTAAGCTACAGCCAAGCTTAAGCCACAGCTGAAGCTAAAGCTCCCAGGGGACTGGGGGAACCGCTCCCAGGGTCCCGGGGGAACCGCCCGGGGTTCGGCTCGTTCCAGTGCCCGGCCCCTTTCAAGCAAATAGAGTAATAACCCTTCTAGGCAGAGCTCGGGTAGGGAACGGTCGAGAAAGGAGAGGTCGGCAGGGGAGGGCGTCGGAGGACAGTGGGGGCGGGAGGGGCTGAAGGCGTGTAAGGAGCGGGCCCGATGCCATGTACCTCCCCGTGGCGTCGCCTCCTATCCTGCCCGTTCCTGTTTCCCCCTTTTCCTCCGTATCCGCTCTCCCTCTTCCTGCCCCTCCTCGTTCTCTTCTTGCCGCCTCATCTTCATCCTCCTTATCGCTCTTGCTCTTTCGTTTCCGAGGGTTCCTACCTGGAGACTGCAGCATTTAGAGCGCACGTCGGGAATTTCAAGTGCACGATAGACGGCCAAATGTGTAGAGTGCACGCCGCTTTGAGGTACACTCGATACGCGGCTGTTCAACGTTTAGCGTGCACATCCGATTTCTGTGACAAAACGTTTAGCGTGCGCTTTACTGGTGCAACAAAAACGTTTAGCGTGCGCTTTACATATCTTAAAACGAATCTTTATATTGCACCAGTGTGTGTGTGTGTGTGCGTGTGCGGCATGCTGCGCAGCAGCTCGCAAGTTGTCGGTTCCGACGAGCATTGGGCCACGTTGCGGCGCATCCGTGCCAGTTACACCCGACTCTTCGGTCCGTCTCTGGTGTTGTTCACGACGCCGAACATCGCGGACATTCGGAACGCGCGCGTATGTGTGTGTCGCTGACGCGCGACGGCGCCGACGTACAGCGGTGGCGGCTTCTGGAAGAGACCGCGCCTGACATGCGTATGACGCAGGACATGCTTCGGCGGGTGGCCACGGAACCACTGGCGCAGGCCACGGTGACGAACCTCATGCTGGCATTATTCCTGGAGCGTGCCGTCAGCTTCATGCCGCTGCGCGGGTCCGCGGCGCGACCGCCACTGGGGCGCGTGGCGCTTTCGGGTTTGTCCGCGCGTGCGTTGGTTCCGTCGAGTCGCAGGGGCGCGGCGGCAATCCACCCGCACATCCACTCGTGGTTCCTGCGCCCGATGACGGCCGCTTCCCTCGCGAGGCTGCGCGCGGGGGACGTCGACGGCCTGGGGGAGCGTGCGAGGAAGCGGAGGGCGCGCGCGCTTGCCAGGGTCGGCAGCGCGCAGTTCGAAACGGCGGAGGTGGGCCCGCAGTCGGGCATGGACGGGCCAGAGCGGCTGCCGCCTCTTCCGCTCGGCCCGCAGGATCGAGCTCGCGCGCGCGTGGGCGTGAGGCTGCAGGAGGGCGACGCCACCGTGCATCTCAATGCCGTCGCTGGCGCCTCGCGTCGTCAGCTCATCAAAAGCTGCGCGGGCGCCCTGCATGAGGGGTTCCGGGACGTCCCGCCCAGCGGGGAAAAGTCTACGGAGGTGTTTCGGCTGGAGGTTGCGGCGATGAAGAATTTGGAAGGGGAGCGGAAAATCCGGCGGCGCCCATTCGCGCCGCTGGCGGACTAAAAGCCAGATCCCCATGAGCAGCTTGCCCAGTGCCTAGCGAGACACCGGGGGCCTCTCACGGGCGCGCACTTGACCTTGCAGCCGCAGCTCCGCCGCCGCGCGCGCGAGGACGGCGCCGCGGCCGCGCGCATGGCGGAACGCCCAGATGAGGAGGCGCGCGCCTGGGCGCGGCGCATCGCGCTGGATGCGCGCGAGCGTGTCATCCGGGGCCATCAGCGCAAGTTCGGGCCTACGTGTTGGAATATGACGAAAGCCGTCTTGCCTCAGCATTGCAGGGGGAGTCGCCTGGGCTTTCACCGCGAGCGCGAGACTGCGACGCGCGGTCACCATGCGAGGAAGCGCGCAGCCAGCTGCTTCGCCCATCGACGCGCGTGCACTGGAAAAGATTTGGCGCTGGCCGACGGGGCGCGGATCGAGCGCGGTCCGCCGCGGGAGGGCGTGCGGAAGCCGCTTGGCGAGCGCCTGATGTTTGACGACGCCGCACAGGAAAGGGGCACGGTTTTCGGCAACGCCGCGGCAGCCGGCACGGCAGACCAGGTCACGTCGACGTGGCGCGGTGCCACCCCTGCCGCGGCAGCGCGAATCCTGTCGGCCAGGTGCGTCTGCGGTGCAACCTGGGCGTAACCTGGGCGTCCAGCGTCTGGGCCGCGCGGCCGACGGCGACCGGGTCGCGCCGCCGCATCTTCCAGGGGTCGGTGCGCCCACGGAGGCTATTGGCGACTCGGTGGAGGCGTTGCCCGCTCGCCAACGGCGATTTTTTTTTCCTGGAGAGGGCGCTGGCCCAGGGTTTTCTTTTAGTTGGTTCACCCCTCGGTTTCGACTTGAAGAGGGCCGGCGAAATTATTCTGCGTAAATGACGACATAAAGTGTTGATTTTCAGTCGAAAAAGTGCGTTTCGTGCGTGCCCGCTCGAGGAAAGTGCGCCCCCCATTTCGGATCCTCGATAAAAACGAGGTCCGCAGACCCCCGTTTTCCCTCGTAAAACAGCGGGCGCGGAGCGTTTTTCGCATAATCCTCGACAAATAACGGCGTCTGGAGCCCCGACCGCGACGCGGAAAAGCGCCCCGCGTATGAATTCCGAGGATGTCTCGCGCGTGCCGCGTCCCGCGCGCAGGAATTTCGAGGATGTCTCGACGAATTCGCTTGTTTTGTCAGGATGTCTTAGAATTTTGGCAGGATGTCTCGAGCGAAACGCTTTTTTTACATAGTTTGTTGTGGATGTCTCGAGGGAATCGCTGGTTTGGCAAAACTTGGGGATGTCTCGAGCGGGGGCTTCGTGGGGGGCCAGAATTCAGAGGATGTCTCAGGCGAAATGCTTGTTTCCGTGTCCCGCTCGCAGGAATTCCAAGGATGTCTCGCGCGTGCCGCGTCCCGCGCGCAGGAATTTTAAGGATATCTCGACTAATTCGTTTGTTTTGCCAGGATGTCCTTGGATTTTGACCAGATGTCTCGAGCGAAACGCTTGTTTTTCATAATTTGTTTTGAGGATGTCTCGAGCGAAGCGCTGGTTTTGCAAACTTGGGGGATGTCTCGAGCGGGGGCCTCGTGGGGGGCTAGAATTCAGAGGATGTCTCAGGCGAAATGTTTGTTTTCACGTCCCGCTCGCAGGAATTCCAGGGATGTCTCGCGCGTGCCACGTCCCGCGCGCAGGAATTTTGAGGATGTCCCGTAGCGCGTCCCCTTGGCACATCCTACGGTGCGACCCCATGGCACGTCCTTTGGCACGTCGCCTGGCGCGTCCCTTAGGACGTTTCGCGGCGCGTCCTCCTGGCATGTCCCCCTGTCAGTTAGCTCTGGGGCAGCTACTATGTGTTCAGGCAGCTCGAGCTTCAGATCCAGATCAGTTCGGTCAGGACTCGGATGCAAAGGAAGACTCGATCCACGACGCTATAGAGCACAACCGCGGCATGGCACATCGCAATTCAGCACGGTGCAGCACAGCACAGCCCTCGGCACGGTACATCAAGATCGATACAATCAGCATTGCACTTGCCCGTCACCCAATCAGGTGTCTTTGAAAACGTTGCCATGCGTTGCATTTATATATTCCTTTCCGGGTTCGTGGGTCGATCATGTTTCTTGGCGGGCTGGCCGCTCGCCAACGGTTGGCCTACCGCTACTCGCTCGCACAGCGGTTGGTCTACCATTACTCGCTCCCACAACACCCTCCCCCCTCCCCCAATCCCGAACATAGTATAAACATTGCATTATATTTGAGTTATCTCACATACTATTCGAGCTAGGTTTAAGTGAAGATAGCCGTGCTTATTGGATTACATATCGACAATTTCACGTACAAGTCATGCAACTCAGACGGCGGAGGGCGGGAATTGCAGTGGGCTGGGCCGCGTCTGGGTCCGAGGCCAGAGGCGGAGCGGGGGCCGGGGCCAGGGCCGGATCGGGCCGTGGCGCGGGGGGAAAGCGTATTTGGGTAGCGACCCCCCGCACCCCACTGCACCCCCCCAGGACCCGTCCAGGACCCCCCAGGGCCCCCCTGGGACCTCTCCAGGACCCCATCCCCGTTGCAGGGAAGGGATCAAAGAGGAGGGTTTCCCTGTGATTCCACTCCAACGCAGTTCAATTTTGTTTTGGACGGCGCGTATGAGGAAGAGGGCCCATGCAAATGAAACAGGGGAGGACGGAGACGACGACTCCAACAGAAACGCCCGACTTGAACGGGAAAAACCTCACACACGCCGACAGGGTCGGCGGATTATTGTTTCTTGTTTCTTGTCGTCGTGCCACCCGCGGCCCACCCCGCAACCCACTTGCGACCCACCCGCGACCAACCCCGCAACCCGCCCGCGACGCACCCGCGACCCACCCCGCGACCCGCCCGCTACGCACCCGCGACCCACCCGAGACCCGCCCGCGACTCACCCGCGACCCACCCGCGACACATGCGACCCACCAGCGACCCACCCGCGACCCACCCACATTGCTTTGACGAAAGACTCGGCGCCTGCGGCGGGTTCGACTTATCAGTTGTAAGATTTAGGGGCCTGAGGCGGGCTTCTTCAGAGCTCGCAGACTGCCAACGTCCCCGCCGCCCCCTCACTCTTATCCGCAGATGCGGGGCGCTACTTAAAAAAGTCCTGATCACCTCTGTTCCCTCCTCCCCCCTGGTCCCCCGCCCGTGTTTCCTCACTCCATGTCCTCCTTTTCCCAGGATGCCCACCTTCATGGGCATCAGCGCCACGCTACGACGCTCCCTTCTCCTCACACTTCATCTCTGCTCCCTCCCCCTTCGTCGCCCCTCCGACATCCCTCCCTCCCCCCTAGCCTATCTCGCTCCATCGCTGCTCCCCCGTCGTCGTCCCTCCCTCATCTCCCTCGCCCGCCACTGTGTCGGGCAGTACTGTTGGTCCTTGCCCGCCGTGGGCCATCCAGCGCGTGTTCCCCGTTCGCCCGCGAGGACATGCATAAGGAGGGGCGCGTCGGCAGACTCAGGGCTGCGGCGTTGACAACCGAGTGGAAAAAAGGTGAACCCCCGTCCCCGACAGACGCCAAGCGCTAGCCTGTGGCACCGCGCTTGGGCAGAGACCGAGCAGCGGCGGCGGGACCGCCAATCGTTTGCTCCTGCAGCTCAATGATTTGTGATCAAGAAGGCCCCGAGCTGGACAGGAGAAGGAGAAGGAGGAGGAAGAGGAGGAGGACGACGACGACAACGACGACGACGAAGAGCGAGAGGAGGAGGAAGAGGCGAGAGGAGGAGGAGGAGGAGGAGGAGGAGGAGGCGAGAGGAGGAGGCGAGAGGAGGAGGCGAGAAGAGGAGGAGGAGGAGGAGGAGGAGGAGGAGGAGGAGGCAGGAGGAGGAGGAGAAGGAGGAGGAGGAGGAGGAGGACCCTCTCCTCCCAGGGCAGCAGCCCCTGCAGCCGCTCGTCGCCGGGTCCCAGCAGCCATCCGCGGAGAGCGCGCGGGCGGCCGAGGCGCCGGGCCCCCTGTGGCTGAGCCTGTGCCGCTCGCTGCTCTTCCTGTCGTGGAGGCCGGGGGGGGGCGCCGAAGCGGCGAACGCCAGGAGATACGCGACGCGGATTCCTCGGACCAGTGGTGGACCCTGTCCCTGGCGCGCGGAGTTGGTCGAAACGACGTCTCGGAAAAATGTAACATCGGAAGAGGGTTGCTCGGAAGGTGCTAATACGAAGGTCCTTGCCAGGCCAACCTTGTACCCAGTGTCGTGTACAACGTTCCCGGGCCCAGGACGGGCCTGGCCAGGATCGGTACACGGTGGACCCCAGTGGGTGGAACCAATGCAGTGCACCGTGCAAAGAGGCCTTGAGTTGCATATGAACACGTGGTGAGTGTCAACATCAAAGGAGCAGGCTTGGTGTGGGTGGTCAGTGCCAAGGAACCGAGCACTGCACGGCACGGCGCGCGGGCATCGCAAGGCACGGCACGGCACAGTGTGTCGCATTCTGGGATTCAGGCACGGCGCGCGGGCACTGTACTGCACGGCACATTGTTCGCAGTCTTGAACCGAGGCACGGCTGATCATTGAAGGGGGTGGATGTTCGTCAGGAGCAGTGATGCTCCCTCCCCCGAGTACGGCAGGGCCAGAGGGGGTTGTAAAACATGCGAACGAACAATTGTCATGCTACCTCTGCCCAGAAGGGGTGGTGGAATGTTACAATGTGTCCCGTGTTGATCCAGGAAGTCTCAGGCGAAAATCGATGTTTGAAGACATGCATGCCTCTATCCGTGAAGCCCTTGCAAGCTTTGTAGACGACCGTGCGCGGTTCCCATCAGAGAGCCGCAGTTTGAAAACGATTGGCCCTCCATCCTTGCAGCTGTTGGAGTTGTCTAGCTTCAGGATGATAAGTTGCAAGGGGACCTCAAGCGAAACGCCCGGCCCAGCCTACGGACACGTTTGGTTCGACAGGGGGGAGTCTTTCATACGGGAGAGCGGTGTAGGAGGAGGAAGAGGACGAGGAGCTGGGGGAGGAGGAGGAGACCGCCTTGGAAGGCCAGACGAGGGCGCCCCCTTCGCATTCGTCCATGCCGCCTGGGCCCGAGTCGAAGCCGATGACCAGGCCCTGCGGCTGGTGCTCCGCGCTGGCGGCGGTGCTGGCGCGTCCGCGCCGCGCGCCACGCCGTGCGCCGTGCCGGGCGCCGCGCCAGGCCCACGCGGCACGAAGTCGGACAGCAGTTCGGAGTATTTTGGGGCTGTGGGTTCGGTTTTCAACTGCTTGCGCCTCGGGGGATCCCTTCATCGTCCCGAGCGGCCGCCTGAGGGCTCAGTCACGGACCGAAAACCAGTTTGAGGGGATCGGGAGCAATATTCAGAATTACTCACGAAGGATCATGTTATGTTTTTGCTATTGTTGTCATACGCGGCGTTTCCGCCTGATTTCGGGTTCTGGGAGCTACGCAGTTAAGAGTTCTAAGACTACAAACATGTGTCGGGGATGGCAATTGTCTCTGGAGAGGTGGTCGGAAGGCGAATGCCTGGGGACGAAGGCTGGCAACAGTTTCCAGGGGGGCAGGTGGATCTCGGAACCCATGTCGACGCCCGCGCCAAGATTTCAGCACGGGTGGATCTCGGAGCCAGCGCCAATGCCAACCATTTTGAACCAGGCTCGCGGGCTCGCTGGAGACTTTTTTACCCTCTGGGTCATTACGCGCGGTATGCCCCCCATAACGTAACGCCCCCCCCCCCCTGGTGAGGGCGGCAATGTATGTTTATGGTATTTTTGTTGGGGGGTCAGGCTGCCATCGTGCCTGGATCGGAAGGCTCGCGCACGGGGACCACGCGCAAGCGGCAGAGCGTCCGTGCCCGCTTGGGCGCCCGTCAGCCAACACAGTTATGGAGAGAAAACGGGCGAGGGAGGGGGAGGGAGGGAGAGGGCAGAGAAAAGCAAGACTGGATGCAAGTCAGCACGAATCACCTCACGTCGGATAGGATTCGAAGAATCTCGGCTGTCTGGGCCTTCCGATGCCTCTCCCTCCGTGCTGCCAAATATTCTTGGTATGACGTGTCATGTCGCTCCAGGAGGCGGTGGGCTTGCCGTATCCTTTTGGGCATGGCCTCGGCTTCCTGCCGCTCGTCCGCCAAAGCTCTGAGCCACACATGGACGGTCTTCCGCGCAAGGCGAGCAGCCCGCATGCACGGCAGGCTGTGCACAAGGGACCGCAGCACAGACAAAGGGTATCCCAAGTAGAACAACTCCAGGACCTCCTCGAGCACCACGACAGTGCATTGATCTGAAGGCAATTTCAAGGCACACGCCCGAGCCAGCCGGCATACAACCAAACCGCTGAGCTCGGAGAAGCCTGTCGGGAGCCGGCCGGGCCACGGAGGTGTCCCAGTCCTCCCACGCGCCTGGGCGCGGTCGGTGAACCAGCTGCTGTTGGGCTTCTTCAGAAGTACATGGACGTGGCCATGAGCTTCCGGAAATCCAGGTCTATCCACTCGAAGGCGGAACCCTTGGGCAAGGTCATTGACTCGGTGACCACGGACAGCTTCTCTTGGAACGCCAGGCGAATGGAGGCCATCAGGCATGAAGAGCAATACCACCGCGAGCAGACGATGATGTCAGCAACATAACGGGCTCATCCAATGACCTGGAGCAGTGCGAAACCAGTGTATACGAAGTTGTGCAGCGAGTGCAAATCGCGGTTGCCCTCGAAAGTTGTTCTTCGTCACCTAGCAGGATGGCAGCCGCAGCGGACGACATGACCCCCCCGATGGCGAGGCCGGTAAGTTCCAAGACAACTGTGCCCAGAACGACCGCCGTGAGCAAAGTCGTGGCCACAAGCGCCCGGGTCACCACGTCAGCCGCCACGAAAAAAACATCCCCGGCGCCACGCGGTAGCAGGGACCACGACTTGTGGCGGACGGCCACGGCGGACCAGAACATCTACCGAACCCAGAGACGCTTGTGCCTGCTCAGTGTTCCGACGCCACGCAGCCACCACTCGGGTACCAGAGCACGCTTCGAACGCCTGGTCATGTCTACCGTCGCGGCGGCCAGACAGCTGTCCATGGGGCACCCGCAGCGCATGCAACTTGGGGACGGCGAAGAAATTAGATCACCAACGAGCCTGTCCAATAGGCCTCGGGCATGCGATCTGTTGAACAGCTCGTAGGAAGCTCCAGTAGCTTCGAGAAGACCTCGCACAGCCCGGCCGATCACCCGCCAGCCATACGCATGTGGCATCCTTGAGAAGTCCAGGATGCGCCTCCAGCGCGAACGCCCAGGTTTCTCGCAAACTCGCTGGCCAGAGTCTGAATAGCACTTGCTCTTGACGAGCGGGAACAAGATGGGGGCGGCCAGCTCTGATACTGGCCCCCGTCGAAGCCAGGCAGGTAATCCGACTGACGACCGAGCATACATGAACACTCGAACGCCTGACACGCCCAGGTCCGAGCGGACCGTCCACGAATCGTCGTCTATAGCATCTTGGAGCACCTTGAGACAGGCTTCCCTTGGCGGTACCAGCCATGCTTTCGAAGAGTCCCGGTCATCCACCACGATTGCGTCACCATTCCGCGCGGCTGCGAGCATGGGTGCTTCCATGTTGCTCCAAAGCTCTGGCACCTTAGGCGGCACCAAGTGCCGGGAACATGTGTAAAACATTCGCTGACCGTGCTGAAACACGCGGCGGTGAAGTCGAACGGCGTGGCACCAATAATTCCAGTTTCGGGCGAAGCACCTCCGAAGTGCTCCTGCCGACTTCCACTGGGGAAGTCTCCAACGGAGCGGCTCGGAACCCAGTTGCCTTTGCCCACCGCGCGAGATCGGCATGATCAACCCCGCAGAAATCTTGCTCTGAGAAAGTGCTGAACACGTGCTTGACCCGGAAATTGTCGCTCTAGAGTTGCTGCCTGGCTACGACGAAGCGCACGTTGCGCCGGGGCCACGCCCTGGCAGGCTCCGCACGAATCTGCAGGATAGCCTCTTCCACGAAACGCCTGATCATTGCGAGGCGGCCCCGATGCAAGAACGGCACCTTGAGCATTGGAACGCTGAGCGGCGGGAGCCGGTGAACCTCCAGAAGATAATTGATTTGCCGCCGAGCCGTTGCCTGGGCAGAAGCTCCAACAATTAACTTTTTGATACCGCCTGCCGTCTCATACAGAAACCGCGCCGTGCGCGCCCTGCCCCATGACCACGGGATGTGCAAACAGGGTAGAGGAGTCGCGGCATAGGTGAGGAACAGACGGGAAGGTCATGTCGAAGATGGAGAATGGGCCCATATGCCCAGACACAGCGAACAACAAGTTCTGGATCTCAACACACACCCGCCGAGACGAACTTCGGACCACATCCAAAGCTGACAACGGCTGTCCTCGCTGCCCATCCTGACCACTGGAGGCGACGGCGGCCAAGAACACGGGGAGCGTCCAGAGGCTCGTGCACCACCGACGGAACCGGAAACGCGGTTTGGGGCGACGGCGAGGCTGCGTTCGTTCAGGTCGTATTGCTTATCTAACTTGTCGGCGCTGACGGTCAGCAGTGCAATCCGCTCGATTAGCGGGAGGTCCGGCGAAACGGATGACGACGCTCTCCAAGGCATATCTCTTGGCATCCGTGGGGGCAGTTGCCACTGGTAAGAAACGCGCTGCCCAAAGACTTTCGGAGTAACTTATACTTGGCTTGCGAACCATCCTTGGAGCTTGGACGAAGAGTGTTCGCCAAGTCGTGATGGTAGGCCTGGTCTACCGCGTCGCCCGCGCTGTGCCGATGTACAAGGTCGAGTGGGAGAACAAGGCGTGCACGAAGCCACCCTCAGATGAGGACAACGACAATGCTGTGCGCCAATGCTGTGCGCAAGCACTGCTCGAACTCGGCGCTGTAGTGACTGCCAGCGAATCGAACGTCGATGAATAGAAACCAGAGTACACGCGCAGCCCACTGGGGCAGCACCGCCCGGCGCATAGCGTCGCAGCCGGACATTTGCTAAGGCAGCGAAGATGTGCTAGCTCCAGATGCTAATTGGTGTGCCCATTGCGCAAGCCCGGCGGGCAGCGCGCGCAGTCCCACGCCTGCAGCCACCGCAAGGGCATTGAGAGCATCCTCGCGAGCCCGCGCCCACGCCCATGTCGGCACCTCCAGGGCGGCCTCAGTACCGGGCTGTTCCAACGCGTGCCTGACCACGAGAACCTTCGCCTCGGCGCCCGACAACGCGACGCTTGCGGATGGGGCCGGCCATGACACTGCAATAGAAGCCATGCCGTCGTGCCAACATCATAGATACGTGCGTGATAATGTGTGGAAGAGAACCGCAGATCCGCCGTGGCGCACTCTCCAGTCTAGACTGCGACGCCCCCCCCCCCCCCCTGGTGAGGGCAATGTATGTTTATTGCATTTTTCCCGGAAAGGGCGCCGGCCCAGGGTTCTCTTTCAGTAGGTTTACCCTCCGGAATCGACGGGAAGAGGGCTGGCGAAATTATTCCGCGTAAATGACGAGGTAAAGTGTTGATTCTATAGGCTTACGCCACATCCGCCGACCCCTTGTTTTTTTGTGGAGGAGGAGGAGAAGAAGGAGGAGGAGGAGGAGGCGAGGCGGGGAGGGTGAGGCGGAGTGGAGGACGCGAAATCGATAATTGAAGGTGGGGTCGGGGGCCTCTTGGGAGCTCCGGGAGCGGAGATGGTTCGAGGAGCGGGGAGGGGCGACGAGGAGGTGGATATCACGGCTGGGGCCGTGAGTTCTTCCCAGATCTCTTCGCCCTCACCCCTTTTGCTGTTTTTACCGTTCCCCTAGCCCCTTCTCGGCCGCGCACGCGCCTCGGGCCCTGATCTGCGAACTCTCCTCTTGGTCGCTCCCCTCCTGGAACAGACCTGAGTCGGCGCGGCCGCGGCGACGGCCGAGCCCGGCCGACGACGACGACGACGACGACGACGACGACGACGACGACGACGACGGACGACGGACGACGGACGACGGAGGACGACGACGACGACGACGACGACGACGACGACGACGACGACGACGACGACGACGACGACGACGACCGACGACGACGACGACGACGACGACGACGGACGACGACGGACGACGACGACGGCGGCGGCGGCGGCGACGGACGACGACGGCGGCGGCCGAGCCGAGCCGAGCCGAGCCGCGTGCGCGCGCGCGGCCCTGCCGCTTCAGAGGCCCGAGCCAGGGCGGCGCGCGAAGCTGTGCGGGGCGGGCGGCAGCGGCCGCGGCCCGGGGGCCGGCGCCGCGCGCCGCGCGTGCGCGCGCCTCGTCTCGGCCGCCGCTGTCGCTCACGTCGCCGCCGCCGGGATGGATTCGGAGTCGATTTCGGCCGATCTCCGACGTCTCGAACAAATCGAGACAGAGGTTTTTGGCAGTTTGCGGGCGCTGGGGGCCCTCAACGGGCCCCGGGGCCGTCAAAAAACTACCCGGGATGAAAAGACGGTCCCCGGGAAGTGGTCGAGGGGTCCAGGGGCCGCGCATTGAAAACGTCAAGACGTCGGACGTCTGGGTCTGCCACGGAGCGCACGGTTCCCAGACCTCCGATGTCTTGACTTAGGAGTGTGTGTGTGTGTCTGTGTGTCTGTGTGTCTGTGTCTGTGTCTGTGTCTGTGTCTGTGTCTGTGTATGTGTGCTTGTTTTGTCGGCAAGGGCCATCGGGGAGCATCTTGGGGGGTCACCGTGCGGCCGAAGCAGACGCGGGGAACGGACGTCCGAGCGACAGGCCCGGGAAGAAGTTAGGGAACAGTCATGCCACGCTCATCTGTCGGGGGAGCGTAAGACCCGGGTTTGCCAGGACTCGGGTTCGCCATTGTTTTTTGACGACCGCGACTCGGATTTTGACGAGTAGGAGTTTCGTGGGGTGTCTGCAGCGGGAGGCCTCGTCAAAATGCAGGCTCGGCCTCGCCATTTTTTTGACGACCTCGTCGGGGATTTCCGAGTCCCCTGTACCCGGGTCTTACGTCCCCCTGAATGTGCCAATGCGCCCCCCAAAGATCAATGTTGGCGGTGGGCTGGATGAGTTGCACTTCGGCCGCAGTCTTCCCCGCGCGCGCCAGCTTCGAGTTCTGGGCGGCGGGGGAGTGTTCCCCACTCCGAGTTTCTAAGTGGCGTCGCAGGGGCGTCACTCCCGCCCACATCGACCCTCGTCGCGGGCAGACACCGCGCGCCGAAGGCGCTCCGACCCCCGTCGCGTCGCGACAACGAGGCGAGGTTGACTTCCGTCGGGGGAATACTCTCCCACGCTTGTTATTATCAGGCGATCGCAAACATGGACCAAAGGGGCGCGGATTAGCGACGGGTCCCGTTTGCACAGGAATTCGCGGATTTACGCCGCCGAGCGAGGGAGTACTGGCCGCATTTCGGGGAGGGCACCTCCCTCAGAAGGCAGCCGTGCTTCACCTCCACGCCAAGCCAGGGCAACCCTCCTCGGGCTCGGCAGGGCGTGTACAGATGCGCCCTCCCGGCCGAGGCGCCAGGGGGGCGCGCGTGCACACCGTGCCGCTGCCCAGGTGGGCTATGGCCCGGCAAGGTGGTGGCGTGGCGGCGCCTGCGGT